TTTAAATTAAATCTAATTTGAATCTGATCTAATCTGAAATTATTAATCTCAAATTTGATTTAATTTGATTTGAACAAAATTTTATTTTAGATCAAATAAATTTCATGTAATTTATTTAATTTATATTTGCTATTATTATTAATAGAAAACTAAATTATATTATAATCAAAGTAAAAAAAGTTAAATTACTAATTGTATCAAAGAAATACAACAAATTTAACAAATTTAATTAATTCAATAAAATCTGTACTAAATTTTGAATTTATAAATTAATATTATATTAATTAATGTGTGGATTTGAATATATTATATATATTAAGGTAAGCTTATTTTTATTATTATAAGATAATTTTTGTCACAAAAAAATTATGCAATCAATTTTTAAAATTTCTCAAAATCATAATCTATAATTATAAAATATTATTCAAATTAAATAGTTTTTACAAGTGGATATAATATCACTTTTTTTTCAAAAAATAAATAAAAATGTTATTCATAAATAATATGAATAACAAGATTAATAATATAATTAATAGTAAAATAAAGAATATAATTAATAATATAATTAATAGTGAGATAAATAATACAATTAATTATATATTAATAGTAAAATTAATAATATTATCATGATCAAATTTTTGATAAATATTATTATAATATAAATATTTAACTAATATCTAATCAATTTATATTTTGTATATTTAATTTTAATAATTTAATTATTTTAAAATTATTATATAATATATTTTCTTTTATTTTGTATATAAATTCTTACTATTACTAATAAATTATAATGTTTTTATGAGTTTTGAACTCAGATAAGTAATCTTGTGATATAAATATTATATTAATAAGTTAATAATTCAATCCAGTTACTTTAGGATTATGACATTGTTACGACTGAAAATTTATATAATTTTCATAACTTTCATAATTTTGATAATTTACAATAATTACAGTAATTATCATCATTTATAACAATTACTGTAATTATCATCATTTACAACAATTATCATAATTTCCATTATTTACATAGTACCTATTATTTATTAACTTATATAATTAATTATAAATATAATATTTATTAGTGGAAAATATTTATTATAAATAAAATACAATTAAAGCTTTGAAAAAGATATTAATTGATCAATATAAAAATCTAACTAGTTAATAAACTGTTTCTTATTTATTATTAATAAAATTTGTATATTTAATTAATTGAAAAATAACTTATTAAAATACTTGCATTTATTGTGCACTATTGAACAATCACCAAAGTTGCTATAGAATATCAGTACTGTATTACTATAGAACTGTCCCACACTAAGTAGACATAACATTTATTAGTAATAGTGAGAGCCTATTTACAAGATAGAAAACACACTGCATGGTAATCCTGAAGTATATTTTTATGATGAGATTAAGTAACTGTAAAAATTACTGTCATTAGGTATTGATTGAACACTCACATTATGATAACATCTACCAGGAGCCTGATCATGACAACATTGTTTATTCTATTAATTTCGAATAGATAACACTACTACTAATAAATATTTTCTTTGTATTTACTTAGTGTAGTGATAGTTCTATAATAATATAGTACTGATATTTTATAACAATTTGGTTGAATGTTTAGTAATATATAAAGTAAGTGTTATAACAAGATTAATAATTATAAAATTAATTAATATACAATTTTATTAAACAATAAACAAAAAGTGATTTATTGACTAGTTAGATTTTGTATTAATCAATTAATACCTTTTGGTTTATTCAAAAAATTCTTTATTTATATAAAATAATTTTATGATTAAGTTATTACAATGTGAGATATGTTATATATATTAAATAAATATGATATAGCAAATAATGTTAATATGTCTGAAAACTTTGTTATCTTTACAATATATATTTAGTCATATGATCAAAATTAAGAAATTAAGGAGTTAGAGATAATTTCAAACTGTTATCATGAGTTTCAGACTCAAATAGATAATCTCATGATGTAGGTATTCAATTAATATCTATTTTAGTAAGTTTATAATTTGATCCAGTTACTTTAGGATCATGGTGCTATCATAATCAGGCTCCTGGTAAGTGTTATTATAACGTGAATGTTCAACCAATGTCTAACTTGATTTTTTCTTATATTTAATCTCAGTAATTTCAGTTATCCTGGAATCATCATGCTGTACATTTTCTTCTATCTTTAAAATAGACTAACACTATTATTAATAGATTGTAATATTTACTAAGTGTAAAAACAATTCTAAAATAATATAGTATTGAGATTCTTTAGTAACTTTGATTGATGTTCAATAATGTGTAATTAATGCAATTATTATAGTATGAATTTATTTATTTAAATCAATTAATATACAATATTTCATTAATAATAAATAAAGAATAGTTTATTGACTAGCTAGATTTTGTAGTGATTAATTAATAATTTATTTGTGAGGTAAAACTCTTCATTATATAGCTAATTATTTTATCATGCATGTTACAATATATTATATCTTATTACAACATGTTGCAAAATATTACAACATGTTGTAGGATATTATTATATATTACTGAATATTATAATATATTATTGAATATTATAACATATAATAAAATATCATGTAAATTTTTGTCATATAAAAATAATAAAAGAATAAATTATAATAATGATAATAATAAATAATAATAATACTAATAATAATAATAATGATATATTTGATTCATAATAATATTATTATATTAAAAGTTAATTATAATATAGAACATGCAGCAAAAAATTCAGAAAGTCTAAATATAATATTATTATAATTTTCTTTATTTCTTTTATTTTGATTAAAAGTGAAAACATTAAAAATTAATAATATTATTCAAAAAATCTATTTAATTAAGTAGTATTTGCATTAACTTATTAGATAAAAAAAGCAAATAATATTTTAGTTTTGTAAATAATAAATAGTCATAAGAATAAATTTTAATAAATTTATTTTCTTATTGAATAGTTTAATATTTTATTGAAAATTAAAAATTACTTCAAAATAAAAAATACTTTTTTTAATTAATTTTTATTTGTTATTTATTTAATATAAATACAATGACTAATAGAATTATAAATTTATACATATAATTTTATTAATAAATATTTTTTATTTTTATATTAAAACAAAAATTATAAAATATAGTTTAATATATATTTTTTGCAATTAGAATAACTTTGTTAAAAAATTCAGAAAAAATATATATTAAAATATAACTTATAATTTTTATATATATTTTATTAATAAAATTATATATATAATTTTATAATTTTGTTAATTACTATATAAAACAAAATTTTTTAATTAGTTAATTAAAATTTGAATTAGAATTAAAGTTAAAATTTTGGATATATAATTAATTAATATTAAAGCTATTATATATAATAGTTATTATAATTAAATTAATTCGAATTAATAATATTAATTAAAACAAAATTATATATTAAAATTCAAAAAACTGAAATATTTAAATTAAAAATATTTTAATTCAAAAATTAATTTAGTTTAGAAAAAACTTTTATAAGTTTTATTAAATAAATTTATTATTTAATAACTAAAACTAAAGTTTTTAAAAATAATTTGATTAATATTATTATTAATCTTTATAAAAAAGATATTCTAATTATATAAAAATCAAAAATTTTTATATTTTAGAATAATTAAAATTAAAAAAAATATAATTATAAAAAAATATAATATAAAAATATAATTATAATATTGAATAAAATATTATTGTTATTATTTTATATAATTTATAATTTTCAAGTATATAATACATATATTATTTATATAATTTTAATCAAATAAGAGATAATATAATAATTAAATATTATATAATTAAAAAAATAAAAATAAGTAATATATTTATTTTGTTAAATAATTAAAATAAGCTCAAATATTTTTTTAATAATAAATATAATTTTGCAATTAAAACAAGAAATTATAAACTAATAATAAATATGAATACTATTTAATTTAATTAAATTAATAAAAGAAATTTTTCTAACAAGTTACTTAATTATTAATTTTATCAAAGAGCTTGATAATTAAAAAACTTGATAATTTTTTTATGCTAAAGTATATGATTCTTTTATAGATAAATGATAAATATTAAATTGCCAATAAAATTAATAGTTGAATCAATAATTCAAATTGATATTTGAACTGATATTTGAATTAATATCTGAATTAATATTTGAATTAATATTTGAACTAATATTTGAACTGTTATTTGAAAAATATTTTATTCAATAGAATATAAATATAATTGTTCAATAAAATTAGAAAAATATCAATTCATACCACTATAAATGAATGTAATTATAAATAGTTATGACTATACATGTGTTAATAATTAATATTATCATGAATGCAGAATATGTTTTTGTATTATTTATTATAAAAATATAAAATAAGACATTCAAAAAAAGGTTGCATTAATTATCATCATATATTTTAAGTATGACTATAAAAATATATTTTGAAAAGTCTACAAATACACTTTTAATGAGCAATCACAATTACAATTTCTTGCTTTTTATATTTAGTAAAATTTATTTTTACTTACATATATAGTTAATAATCATTTATGTATGCGGTGGCTCTCACAAGAAATGAAACACTTGATAAAAATTATCTAGAATTTTTATCTCCATTATTTTGCGACTGCAAATGTTCTTGCCTCAAGTCCACCGATTTTCAATTACGAATGAATAAGTAAACGAATCCCTGAATAAAGAATCGTGTTATATTGACATTATGACGTTGAATTATGTATGCTAAATTTATATTGTAATACTCTAGGCTAATATCACAGTCATTCTCTAAAACTTAAAATGCTAATTTAAAAAATTAATCTTGTGAAAATCAAATCTTTGACCGATAACAACCAAAATAATCCACGACAATAAGGTGGGTAACGTCATGATCGTAATTTTTTAAGTTAGCGTTAGTCTTCTAATCATCGAAAAATGACTCATGTGTTTCGGAAATCTCTTCTGGTAATACACTTTGCTCTTGATTTATCATTATAGTTGAAACAGGAAGTGGCAAAGTCACGGGGAGAGCAAGATGGTTAGAGTTGTTCTTGGAGTCGGCTATAGTATTTGGAAATTCTGGTAATATAGAAGAATTTGGTTTATGGGAATCGAATTCAATTTTGGGAAAAATTTGAGAATTATCTGGTTCGGCATTGATAGCATAAATAACGTCAATAACGATGAAAAAAAGTTTGAATTTTAGATGCATTTTTTTTAGTCAATGGTAGTTTTTTAATTGTTTGATTTGTCTGCCTTATGGCCTTTTTATAGATGAAAAATTGGCGTTGTGTTTAATCAAAGTCTAAAGATAAAACACTGACAAATACTTTTTTAATCAATTTCGTTTATTCTGATTAACAAACATCAAACATTTATCAGAATTCCTAAAAACTCGTCTCTGAGCATATGATTCCACAGCTGATTTAACTTCAACCAAAAATTACTAAAATTGGCTAATATTGAATTGAATTAACATCAAGAAGGAAATATTAAAACTGAAAATAATAGTTTTTTTTTAGTTATGAAGAAGGCTATAAATCTAATTCTTTTAAATACCATAAAACGCACCCCATCTGTAGAAAATTATAATGCAATAGCGCATTTCTTTTTTATTGCCACTGTACATGTCATTTTATGTAAAAAAGATAGTGTGCTAAAGTTCGGTTGTTTAGTATACTAATACTAATAAACATTGCACGATTTATATGCTAACGCTAACACAAAAATAAATTATCAAACTACAGTCAACCCCGTTAAAACCGAAGTTTGTTCCAGGAACAGTTATGGTAAACCGGGTTTTCTACTAATAGTCACTGCCTTTGTATTACCTGTTTCATTGCATATCGTTTGGATTCCTAATACATAGTAGATTGCCAACAAAAAATACTAAACTAACGAATTTGTTTATTTATCGGTATAAACATGCATATAATTAAAGTAATCGTAACGTGTTAGAATCTAGACTTTTTCCAAAAAAAGAATACATTGAATTAAACTTTTGAATTTGGCTTTATTATTGGTGTTTCATATGAACCGAATCATTGACCTTAACAACAAAGATTGCATGCATTTTTGTTTTGGAATGGAAAACTATGCACGAATAATTAATTTGTAAAGTCATTATTTCTTTTGCAACACATACGGCATTCCGACATTAGTCAAACAATTGCAACCGTGATCTTTTTTTGAATCATTGCGAGATGTCTTGGTTCCATCGTACCGCCACCATGCTTGAAAAAACGCGGAAGCATTCTTTGTTTACTTAGAATTGCTAACAATGCTATGAATTGTAACATCTTTTTGTATTTTGAGAAATTCAGATAATAATACAAATTTTGATTATTTGGCGTAGTAATGTCGATTTATATTTCTTATAGTAGCATATAAAAAATTTTCTATATATATAATCATTATTTATACAAGTCTCGGCTGGATTTGCATAGATTTGCATAATATTTACTATGAAAACCGATTTGTTTTCATTGGCTAATAATGTATCATATATAGTAATTAATCATCAATTTTAGCCAATGAAAACAAAGATTGGTTAATTTAAATTCTGCACACGCAGTAAACTGGAATTTGAATCAAAAAAAAAAACTTTTATTAGCAAATTCAATTACAACATAAACCGTTTATTAATATCCCATCATATTCAACTATTTGTAATCCATCAGCAAAATCAATTTCTCGTAATGAATCGGGAATATCCCAATCTTCATTTTCATCGCTAAACTCTTCTTCAGGATCCGAGTATTTTTGTTCTTGTAGTTGTTGCATTATATAACTGTCATCAATTATTACAGGTTCAAGATTAATAGAAATCTGACCACACGATGAGGATCTTTTACGACGACGAAACATATTTGCGAAGTGCTGTTGCGTGGAAATTATAAAACTTTTATGTCGCGATGCTTTTTTCTCTTTTTTATTTTCTATATTATTATTCTCATTGATCAATAAAGAGTCAGGCTGTAATATTGAAGAAACAGAAAAGTTTGAAGACGTAGTCGTTGGTGGTGATAACAACGAGTTATCAACTGACAATACTGATGATGATACTGATGATGATAAGTGATGTCTTTGTTGCTCATTTATTAAAGAACTCTTGGGACTCAGACTCCGCATAAAACTTACTGGATGCCGTTTTGGGGATGGAGAGGTTGATGAAGTTGGTGAGGTTGGAGCACTTGATGACGTGTTTTTCTTTTTGTTTGGCACTATAATTAATCATCAGAGATTTTGATTGGATTTATTTTATTTCAAATGATGCTATATTATTATTATTATTATTATTATAAGAGATTAATTAACGAGAAATAAGATTATTATATTACCTGGCAGACAGCCATCTTCATAGTAACTATTATTTTGCGAGTTTGTATTAGAAGACGTGATCAAAGAAGTAGTTATAGACGGAATTAGAATATTTTTATTAATATCATTTGTTGTGATTGTATGATGCGTCGGTAATTCCATTAATAAAGAATTTGACCTCGAAACATGTTGATTTGCTTCGAAAATTATGGGCGATCCATCATTATTCTTTGCAGAAGTTTCGATAAAAGTTATTATCCTACCACTATTGTTCGGTTTCTGTTTGTGATGATGATGATGATGATGATCATCGTTATCGTTATCTTGATTGAAAAATGGTTTCATTATAATTACGCTTAAACTTTTTCAAAAAGTCAAAGCCAATCTTCAAATCAAAAGAATACTATCAATGCCACCGAAAGCAACAAGCGTATGATCTTTAATTTCGCGAAATAGTATTGGCATAGAATGTCTGATGCCTCGCCTCTCCTCTTCTTATTACTATGAATAAGTGTGTATTCCGTCTCTTTTTGTGATTTCTTTTTATAGTACTACTCAATAACAATATGGGGAAAAGTTCAAGTTGAAAATGATTATTATAATAAAACCGTTCACGAGTTATTTAAAAAGAGCAATAATTCGAATCTTAATATTAATAAGAGAAAAGAAGAAGAAATAGAAGAAGAAATAGAAAAAGAAATGCAACTAAAAGAAATATAATAAAACAAATATTATATATATAATGAATTATATGTGTGTGTGTGTGTGCGTGTGTGCGTGTGCGTGTGCGTGTCTCTGTTTTTTTAAGAGTGCGTGATAAAAAGAGAAAAAAAGAATCTAACGACTACCATCTGATATATTTATACATAATCAATGAAGATATATACTTTTAATATGCAGATATATTGAATCATTGATCGATCGATAAAGTCCATAAAATAGATTGATTTTCCTTCATTCAAACCAGTTTCCATGAAGTTGTATTTAATAACTTTATATATCGATATTTTTATGCAGTATGCAGAATATCATCATCGTTGTCGTTTCATATCTATATTCGGAAATGAAAGAACGTTTTTGAAAAGACGAGAATTAATATCCAAATATAAATATTCGTTTGTAAAATGAATCAAAGTATCGGAAAAAGAAAAGTGATAAGTGATATTAAGGAACCTTAATTCTGACACTGCTTCTTATGACTAAACCTAATTTAATTGTAATATAATTATGTTAACGTTAATGTGAACCCGTAAATAAAATACTTTTAGTAATCATATCGTAAAGTTACGCGCGTCAAAAAATCTCGCACTCACTTTGTGACCGACAGACAAACATATCCGAGAAATAAGTGGCATAGTACATTTTTGTACCTCATCTGTCTATCTGTTTATACGTCTGGGGTACAGAATACAGACGGACAGAATACGGGCATAACAGTATGTAATAGTTCTTTCTTTATCATTTCTCAGCTTTTTACACAATGAATATTTGAATATTTTGAGAATAAATGAATTTGAAATTTCGAGTCTTATTGTGTGTGATGTAAGCGGGTCTAGGCATTATATTGCTGTTATTTAAATTTTAATTCGTCCTTTTTTTGTTTCGTATTATTTAATTAGCATAATTACGTTTATTAGCTGTTATTGATATTTCTTTTCCTTAGCTCCCTTCACATGGCATTTATTTACAATGACGAAGGTATTTTCGTAAATACATATGTTGATGACCATTCTTTGATGTTCGTGTGTGTGTGTATAAGAGAACGGTGCGTGCACACAGAGTAAGGGGAATTCCGTCACTTCAGGAATTCACTACTCTCATGGTCATCGGCAATAGAATTAATTAATAATCAAGTTTCATTTTATTTAGAATTATCACCGTTACTATCTTTGAAACATTTTATGTGTACGAATGATCCAAAAAAAGAAGGTAGGATTACTATAAATCATAATGATCTACGTGTACGTATATATGTATCCTGTTCATACTGAATATCGTTATAAGGTGAGAATCTAAGTTTGAACTTTATAATAAGCCAAAAATGAAATTAATTTCCAAAAGGCTCAAAACTGACATCATACAATTTTGTGCACGAAAATGGATTAGAAAAAAAACTATTGAAACGAACTAATTCTAGTTGCGTTGTATAACATACACGTGTTGGTTATACAACACACACGGCACTATACTTTAATTGCATACAATGGTTTCTAACAAATACATGTACACCTGCCGAAAGGATCAACGATCGAAAAAATTAACTGCATATCGATATCAGTCTTGAGCTTTAAATGTGGATAGCCACATGCACTTATATTATCGCATCAATCAAAACTTTTCATTGGCTTATATGATAGAATATACTTACATTAGACTTATTTGTTAGATTCAAATCATATTAACCGATTGGATTTTTATATTGTTCACAACTTATAATAATTTACTATGTCTAACCAATGAGTCCGATGTTTTATGTAGGACTCGTTGGCTGAACATAACAAACTGTTAAAAAATTTCCCATAAAAAGCACTCATACATCATAATAGTATTTTTGTCAAATCAGCATAAAGCAGGTTTAATAATATAAATGCATGTAACTAATCATATTTAATAAAACGTCTGTTCTTGTTATGCCACAAACTTTATTTGAAATTTTACGGAAGGGTGTGATTGGTTTCTTTTTAAAAAGTACCAATTTTTAATTTTATTTTTGAAATGTCTCTAAGTAGGGTATTATGCTCATAAAAATCAATACATGATGTGATCATTTATGGTTATGTCTCTCTCTAGGTTATTAACTGTTATCAAATAATAATTATTTGATAACAGTTACCGTAAAGCGCTCTTTAAAGTACCCCGGGTGTTTTTACATTCACTTAAAATTAGGGGTACTATGGTCGGAGGATAATACCCTAGCCACGACAAAGTGTCGGTCACGTGATGATCAAACTAATAAGAATGCGCAAAAATTCTGTGCAACCAATAGGAATGTAGCAAATTTTTGATTAACCCGGCAAAACAAGTCCGACACAAGAAAATAAAAAATACAAAAAACAAATATCAAAATCTAGCTTGGCACACTATCAAAAAATGTTGGGAAGACAATTTATATATAATCTTGATCTCAGCTCTAATTCTAATACTTGATATCTAATATTAATCGGATATTTTTATGGACTTATTTCAGATCACGTGACCAACACTTTTTTGCCGTGGCTAGGGTATTAGTTGGAGGAGGGTACATGTTGATCGACAATCAAATTCTGAATTTTTATCGATTTGAAAAACTTGAGAATGAGAAAAATTAAATTAGTTTCGTTCATTTTTTTGTACTAAATAATTGTAGCACAATGTAAAGTACCCGGATATTGTACATAAATTATCTGCTAAAAAGCTGGGAGGGTTCTTTAAAGAGCGCTTTACGGTAATAGCCTAGAGAGAGACATAACCACAAATGGGATGTCCTGATCACATCGGATAATCGAATCTTGACTGTATATTCTCCTTCCTCCATGTCAACGCAGGCTTGACATGCTATTTCGATTTTTTCTCCACAATTTTCGCTTTGCTAAATCATTTATCCCTTAACGATTAACTTTCAAATTCTGGGATATGTATTACGGCCAGAGATACATTTTGGGAGAAATTCATCGGGTAGTTTACATAAGAGTGAAATAATTTTTTGTTACTTTCCTTACTTTCGATATTTCGGTCTAACGAAGTGGTCGGGAAACATAAGAAAAATTTCGTTAAATTAAGCTAAAACTCAATAATGCTACATAGAAAGAAAGATATTTGTCTTTATCATCGCTAAATTGCATAGTCGCTAAATCGAGTTCAGTTTTATTGGTCGATTGTCTACATATACCTGGATTAGAAATCATAAAAAGTAAAAGCAACGTTAAAAGTCAGTTTTAGTGATTTTTTAAATGCTTCGAAATTTTGTAAAGCTATAAATAATAGTCTAGTTGTCATTTAACATTTCGACTTATTCAATATATACCATTCATTTGAGTAATCTTTCGTAATGCATTCTCCATATTTGATTACCGCATTTTTGATTTACGAATCGAGCGTTGTTTATTGGCTGTAGGTCATATACAAAAAATCTCTCTAAGTGCACCCTCTTGGGACCATATTAAAAAACAGGTGTGCATTTATAGAGAGTAAATAATTAGATGTCTTATTAAAAAAACTTCTTTATAGTCACATCTTCTTTATAATCACTAATTTTGCTTTTCTGAGTATAATAACTATAAAAGAATTTGATTATATTTATAATTTTAATTAAAATTAGTATAATTTAAAAAATTTTTGATTTTTAATATAATTATTATAAAATATATATTATATTATTTACTAAATGATTTATAAGTTTGGGATTGAGCCATAGCGTGCATTTGGGAGGGTGTATAGTGTGTGCATTTATAGAGGGTGCACTTATGGAGATTTCTCTTTACATGTATCTCGCTTATTGTTATTCTTTTTCTCATACCCGTTCCTTTGGAGTTATTTACTATGTAGCTTAGTAACGGAAGTCGTGAGCGATGGTGACCTCGCTATTATGCTGCTTTAGTGGGTGACACATAGAACTTTTTCTGTAGAATGCGGTCAGAAATAAATTTAAAACCATTATGGTGTGGTATGTTTGGTAGGTGACGCCCAGTAACAAAGACATTTATAAAGCTCTGTTCGGGTCGGGTTGGGTTTGAGGTCAACCCGAACCGATAATTTCGGGTCGGGTCGGGTTTGACCCGAAAATCGTAAAATAGTTTTTCGTTAATGACGTTTATTTTTACTAAGACACTTGTATTTTGTGTCCTAAGTAGAGTTTTTCGGAATGTAATTTTGTATATATTTGTTAATATTGAACGAGAAACAGCGATTTTTAGGCTGCCCCGAAATATTTCGGGTCGGGTTTGATCTCGACCCGAACCGACCCGAAATGTGCGTTCCGGGTCGGATTACGGATCGGACCCGACCCGGTTGGAGCACTAGTCATTATACTCTGTTGACGTGGTCAGAGTATCAAAACCGTTGTGATTGTGGTATGTACCTTCTGTTCGGCAGAGTCAGAAGTAAATCAAAACGTATGATGCTAACCCAAACTCATCTCTCTTCTGTTTACACGATCAGAGGTAATAAAAACCGCGTTCGCGATTATCGTATTCTATCATTAATAAGACCAGTACTCTAGTGTGTGCTCCGAAATGCTCATCTGACTTCGGAAAATCTGGCCCGACAAACAGTGTCCACGTAATTATCTTTCACTTCTTACATAAATTTATTTTTAAGCTCGATGTAAGTTTTTTGTTTCCAACCAAAATTAGTAGTTAACACATACATGGAATAAAGCTTTGGCCTCTATCCATTCGTCGCTTCCTTGACTTTAAGAAGCAGGGCAGTATAACGAAATCGTGTGCATCGATTGATTTTTTCTGCGTTTTAGAAATCTTATAGCTTTTTTTTTTATCCCAGTCTTTTTAAAAAGAGGCTAACTATATGGTAAAAATTGTCCCGTCATTACTCTTTACGATGAATAATTACAAAGTTTTGAGTTTCAGTCGCTTGTTAAAAACTTTGAAACGACAGTTGATATCAAAAAGAATTCAGCTTTTAATGACACATTCGTGAAAACAGGGTTGATTGATAAGATTACTCAATCATAACGTTTCTTATATCGAATTTTCATAGCATTTTAGGAAAATATATACCATAAGAACGCCAATTTTTTATTACTGGAAAATCTATTTCTAAAAATTGTTGAAGTTTAATTTCTTCGTTAACTATTTATCTTATCTGACAGATTGTTTGGAACTAAGACACAAAATATGAGACGCATTTTCTCTACATGAACCAAAATCAAGATTATCTCGTTCTGTCGAGAAAAGTTTCGTTAATCACAGCAGGACGTATATATGTCTGTAAAGTTGAGGTTAACCAAAGTTTTTACCGAAAGGCAGTATCGTACATTTTCTCTGTCCCAAGCATTTTTGAAACTGTCCCAAATATGTACCGACTACGTCCCGTGACAATACTGCCGAAGGGTGAAGATGATTTAGTGTATTACACAGATAATAGTATTATAAAATAGAAGGTTGCTTATAAAAACTGAAATAAATATTTTCGAGACTATACAAATGCAAACGCAATTCAAACATAATACGATATTTAAATGTTATCTTGTGCCAAATTGAATGTGCCCTATAAATTCAAAAAACTTACGAACGATTACGACTGCTCATTTGGATTTTCAAGGAATTGTGATTATAAGTTGTTACTCTGTCGAATATATATACACACATCTACAATATATTACCGGAAATTTCAAAAATGAATTTGTCACTTTGGAATCCGATATCTCGACATCTGATGATCCATTAGATTCGTATAGTCGAGGCGAATCATATGGTGCAAGAAATCTTAACTCAACAATATAACGAGTTATTTTTAACACTTTACAGAAATGGAATTTAGAAAAGCTAAACCATTAATATTATTCTTTGAGATAAGCTTCATCAAATTACCAGTCAGATTTTAAAAAAGTCTTACATAAAAAGTTATAGGCATTTAAAGTTAGGTATTTTTTATATGATTAGTCTGAAATTGAAACAATCATGTGATTTTTTATCATATGATCTAATTTGATTGGTTAGCATATTATAGTGCCAGTCCAAATTATAATTTCATCAAGATTTGATATATGTCACATGATTAGCACCACATATCACATGACTTTTCCAACACAAATTTTAGAAAATTGAAACAAAATCACGTGATTGTTGAGCTAAAATTTCTGACGCCATATCTTTGTTCGAATGGGTTCACCGAATGTCGAGATATCGGGTTCCAAAGTGACAAATTCATTTTTGAGATTTCCGGTAATATATAGTAAAGTGGTGTATATATATTAGTGTTTCGGACGAAACAATTTCGCTCAGTGAACTTCCAGTTTCGTCCCAGAAGTCCGAAACCTGGAAACACTGTAGATCAAATTGGGGTGCCCGAAACATATATATTCATTAAAGTACTATTCATATAATACGACGACAACCAAATAATCCAATATTCGGCTATATCTTCTATATCCAAAGCGACGATGCGAAAAGGTGGATAAAGTCCATAACCGTAATCCCAAGCTAGTCCATACCTTTCAAAGTCATCGAAAATTGGCTCATGCGGTCCATAAATTTCTTCTGGTAATACATATCATCATCATAGTTGAAACGGAAGTGAGGCAGTAAAGTCATTGGAAAAGAAAGAGGTGTAACTTTTTGGTGCTGTTAACATCGCCCTTGGAGTCGGCAATAGTATTTTGAAATTCCAATGTTAAAGAATTGAGTTTTCGGAAATCAGGTTCAAAAATCAATACACCAAATATCTGTACTTGCATGCAGATACGCCAAACTTCTCGTCACACAGAGAACACATTCTGCACCCATGCTGCCACGACTCAATCCTTTAACCGGACCGGGAGGATGTCCGTATACTTGCTGCCTATATTAATATTGGATATGGGACTGAAAAAACAAATCAAATATATATATTAAAAACTTGCAAGCATATTATTTATAACTATATTTATACAATTATTTTATAATTTGGGTGGCAAGTATAGGATGTCCCCGTGAACAGGAGGAAAATATCACGTCCCCAAAATCAATGACGATTCTCAGATCACTTTTAGTGGTTCGCTTAGAGATGACGTTATACGCCTTTTGATAGTCGATGTATGTCTTCCATTTCAGTCGTCGAAACTCCAGAAACGTAGTCATGTGTTGCAGAATGTCTTAAACAGCGTGGGAAAGAGATTTCTAATCGGAATGTTAGACATGAATTTAATATACAAAGGATAGGAACATGTACGTCTTAAAAGAGCTTGAATCTGAGTATTATTTTTTAGCCATGTGTTTTGCTTTTTTCTACGATATATATTTTTGTCGCAACTCTTTGTGCTGCATGTAACCACATCTTCCTTTCTCTCTCCGTGCACTGCGAAAAACAAATACCTCCTTCCAGGATCCAATCCAACAATGAGGTTGTTCTGAATTAGAGTGTCCAGCTTACTGCATTTGATTCTGCACATGCAGTAAACTGGACACTCTATTCTGAATGTCCGTTTGATGGTACCATCTTCATTGAAACCATATACATTAATCCCATTCCACTGTTCAGCTGGTCGTTTCAGATTTAAACTTATCAGTCATAATGCTATATGCAAATTAGCAGTTTTCTGTTGTCACTTTATGAACATGAAATGCTGTTTTCCACCAACTATCATAATTTTCTGTGAAGTTTTTTCTAGATACGCGCTGCTTGCCTGCCTGCAAATCAGCTGCTGGGAACAACTGTGTCGATAAGAATAAAGTGTCAATGGAATGATGGCAAAGAAACAATACTAAAGATGCGGACATCACGACCTTGTTGTGTGAATTGTCTCTGAGAAGCTTCCTTAATATAATTTTTTCGGGTGCTGTCCAACATCTCGACAACCCATAAACCCGACAAACGAAATCCCGAAAGCACGAAATCTCGATAGTTCAAAATCCTGACAATTTAAACCATAATATTAGAAAAAGTAAACACCGATGGCAATATGAATTTGTACATGTATATGCATATCGATATAATAATAAACTAACTATTCGTTACAAAAAATAACTATCGTTACTACGATCATCGAACGTGAGAATAGCGTTAGCAATGACATTAGTGAAGTGCAATGTTAAGATTTTAAATGTCGGGATGCCGTGCATTCGGGATTTCATTTGTCGGGTTTATGGGTTGTTTGGATGTCGTACTGGATCCAAATTTTTCAAATGTCCTTCGAATTTCCAAAGAGGCCAAATATATCTCCACCACAAATTCTTTATTTGATTTTCATCAAATAATAGTCTTCTAAGATGCTTTATTGAATATATAATGTGTCTGATAAAACTCCAGGTTAGTGATAAAGTTTAGAAGACTGGATGAATTATTTCCAATAATAGCCTTATGTATGTGCTGCGCAAGCAAATATGTTTGACTTTGATGAAGAAACTGAAGTTGCTCTTTAAGCTTGTATGTTAGCCACCTAAATAGCCGACTGTTGATATTGGTAACAACATTCATTTATCCCTTTGCTCAAAACAGCTTGGTTATAATCAAGTTGAGGTATTTGCGAATTATTCTCCAAAAGGTGTGTAACAGGAAATGGAATGGAAGTTATTCTGCGAACGGCAAGAAATTTGTTGAAACCAATTGTCATGGTGCATGTATTTTCACGTATACCTTCTATTTGAGCTGTAGTTGATTTTCTTCCTATGTAATAGTCGCATTTTTGCATCATTCACCTTTACCACTCGTCATATAGCAATTGATACAAATGCTTTCTATGATATGATTTCTGAAGTTAACCTCAATAGTGGTTTGAATAAGTCGCAATGGTATCTATTAGGATACTTATGAAAAATCAATATTTTAGGACAACACGATCTTTTTGTTTCATGATCATATTGCAAATTAAATGGTCGAATAATGTATGTGTATTATTATTATTTATTCTCGCATTATTAAATTTCTTTTCATGCTATAAATAGAATCGTAATATCAAGGCTTTATTTCATCAAATTCCGACCTCGAAGGCATCATCCAAAGGTTAATTTTAAGAACCGTCTACGAATTATCATCTCCAATTATTAACATTCTTTGTTTCTGCTCTTTAAGTTTGATAATTATTGTGGAGAACAGTCCACCCTTTCCATTCTCATTCGTCGTATTACGGGAAGTGAGTGTTTCGGGCGAAACTAATTTTCAAAATCCGAAACGTTTCACCCCACAAATCCAAAACTATCCGGAACCCTAATTTGGAGACACTGTGTAGATCAAATTGGGAAACTAGTTTCGCTCGAAACACTACTGGAAATCCTCGAGACAGATTTGATCATTCTATGGTAATGGAGATTTTAATCATAATCAAAGTACTATGCATCAGGACCAAAGAAGACTTTATATCAGCTTAACATTTATGGTAGATGAATATTATGCAAGTCAAGCATGTTGTTTTCTGTTCTTTATTTATAGAAATACTGTTATTTTTTTAAGATCTGTTCCATACGCGAAGACATCTTTGAAAAACCACAACGCATCTACGTTCTTAAAGTGTTTGTTTGAATCCGTTACATGCATCATAACAGTGAGAAACGACCTGCATTTACACGCACGTTTTCCAGAATTTGAACATCATAGGCGGTGGTCAATAGACTACACATTTTTTAGTTGTCTAATTCATATGCAAAAATTTCAATACTGCAATTTCAAAAGATAAAGTTTTGTGTCATGTTCAAAATCATAACTATCTCAAACTCGTATTTTTACAAAAATATCCATAACTCTGATTATTCTACTCAAGAACCGATGCGGGAGTTGATGGAGGTGCATTTGCAACCTCTGCTATAGCAAAGACGATGATGGCTTTATGAAACTCGGTACAGCCCAGTAGCGCACATATATGTTTCATATGTATAGAGTACTGACTCCCTCATATGACTCCATCATATTTAAAATAATACAACCAGGAAAAGAAAATCGTTACAACATGGTTGAGGATAGTTAGCAGTTAATTGATTTTTGTCTCACACACGCGAATTTCTAGCGTTCGTTCGATCTTTTCTTTATAGAGTTCATTTTCTTCTTAGCTTGCTCTTTTATGGTAAAGTATATTACGTAAAAAATAACGTATCATCAGTGAACATCATCATCGACGACGACAACTACCCCACGAGAAATCATCATAATTTTAATTTATACATGTATGCATGTATGTACCTTGTCGACCTTTCTCTTCGTTTCTTTAATTAATCCGTTTTTCCATATTTAGTTATAGATTTTACCTCGTGAAAAAAGTTATGATCAACTAAAAGGAATTAATTATTCCCACACTTTTATTTTTAGTTCGTTTATTACGCGCGTCTTTCGTGTCTCTCAACAAAAATAGTCTTATTTATGTATATTTATACTCTTTAAACGCTAGACTTGTCACGTGCAGGGTCCAGACATAATAAAGTACCCAGATATGACCGCGCGAGGGAACAGAGCTTTACCGGCTGAGGAAAAATGAAACACAAACATGTGAGAGTGAAACATAGATGCAAGAAGATAGTGGTTGTGTCGTAGTCTTCGTCGTCGCCAAAACACACAAAGGACGAAAAAAGGAACATAACATTTGATTTTCAGTCAATGAGAATACCAACCCATAGCACCACCGCCAATAATTGATTACGGCGTACCCATCTTGCACCATGATTAAATCAAGTTTTATCAGATTTGTATAGGATAAATAAATATCTAGATGACGAAAAAGTATTTTAAACAAGGTCACCCATCGAAAAAAAAAACCTGACTGAAAACCAGTTTTTTAATGTTTTTTGTGTAGAAAGATGATATTTCACAATTCGATTCTAATTTTATAAACGGAGATTTGTTCCCGTCTACTTTTTTTGCTGGTTATAACGATACACCCGTACACAAAAAAAAAGCAAAATATCACTTTAAAAAGCGGTTTTAGTAAGCATGGTTACACAATATAAAAAGATCTCACTATCGTTATAAAAAAGCATCATCGTTATAACCGCCTTTGATTGTATGCCCGATGAAAATAAAACTTTTGGAGATGGATGATCGCATTAATGTGACAAGATCAAAAGTTGTGTTTGAGTGACAACACGTTATAGTCTGTCAAAACTTAGGTCAATGCTATTCATGCATCTTATCATCATTATAAGTGAGAAACGTAAAACTGAATTTTTAATATCGTGCAGTGTATTTATACTCAGCATCATCATTATAATGCCGATGAAACGGTTTCCGTGAATTACACAGTATTATAAAATGTAAGCCATTAAATAACTGCCAAATCTAGAGTTGAAGGTAAAGTGATGGTGATGTAATTAATATATAAGTAATAATAAAAAAACCGGATATATTCTTTCCTTATAATCATCAAACAAAAGTATCCAGTGCAAACACTTACATGCATATTAGGTAACATTATATTAGTTGTTCTTGTTTTGCATAAAGTTATTGCAGCAGGTAAAAAAAGCATGAGCTTTGAAAAAAATGCTAATTAATTTGAGTTTTGTGACACTTTTAGCATTGAACGTATATATACATTTAATGCGTATATATGAAGTGTTATGGTGAAAAGACGACTGTACACAAATTAATTTCATTTAATCTGTTGAATGAACGAACGAAAGGAGCTTGGCGAACGATAAGAATCACACCACAGAACCTTATCTCTGTGTAATCTCCGCATATGTGCTATGTAGTTCCGCCGCTGCTGCCCGAATCTTTTTTTTGTTCATTCGCATGTACATATCATATACTCTACAATTATTCCTTATAGCCGGGCTTCTTTTCAACACATGCATGTGTGCAATCCTGCTCTGTTACACTTTCGTTATGGAAATAAACTTTAAAAAAAAGAATTTAAAATTAAAAAGTCCAATATATTCCTTACATCACATCAATTATCATCACACAATGATGATGACACACATCACGCATTTCATTCCATTGTTTTTCTATGAAATTTACAAAATTTGTCCATGTATAATGATGATGCCATTATATTAAATTTTTATTATGTACATTGTTCTCGTTTATTTTTCCTTTCCAGGAAATAGTTGCCATTTGTTTCATTATCTGATATTCCCAAATATGGATCAGTGAATTTTCCTTTTTGTAAATGATGCATTCTTTCTTCGTGATACAGATTTTTAGAGATAGTAATAACTGGTTCTGAAAGCCATACAGAAACTCACGTGCATGTAGAAAACTGACGTAAGTTTTATAAAAACAAGGTTTTCTTTTGGATTACTCCCTGCGTAACTCCTGTGCGCGCATACATTATAATAGAGAATTATAATCGGATTGTCTTGTTAATCATAATTTCACCAAAAGGAAGACAAAATAAATGTCCAAAAATTAAGAAACAATGAATTTAATTTTTGCATTGTGAGATGAATTTTTGACGTCTTTTTGTTTTTGTTTTTCATATAAAGAAAAATAATAAAAAAATAGAGTTTGTCGTTGACAGATCTAGCCGCCAAAGACGAAAACGCCAAAAAAAATAAAACACAGAGAAGTGATCTGCATCTATTGTTTCTCGTGGCCATTGTTGATTACTAACAGCCTTTTAGGAAAAACATCATATAAGCAATTAAATCCTAAATTAATCAATTAAACTTTCCCGCCAAAATGTATATATGAATATCCATTAATGGGATACAATGATCTTCTTAGTAAATAGCGATAGAATGAAAGTTAAGTTAACGATAACGAAATCCTTTTCCCCGCATTTTCTCCCAAAAAGATATCCGTTGATTATGAAAAAACAAACTCACTCTTACCCCACACACAAATTTGCGCAATATCACCCACACTAGAAAATAGGAAATTATATAATATAATACAACGACGCACAGATTTCCTTTTTATTAGATTATATGATACATACGTACATACATACGTACCTTAATTAACAACACACGGACCAACTCTGATCAAATGTCATTACACCTTTTTGCTCTATCAATGAGATATCTAAAATACTTAATGTACTACCTACCTACCTACCTACCTAACCTACCTAACGTATTACCTACCGCACGCGTGAGCGCGTGCTTTCAAGATTTTCCACACATATATATACTTTTTATATTAATAATGCTCACCAATTATAATACGTAGGAGGATTGTAGATCGGTCTATCCTCTTTCTCGGGTTTAAAGTACCTTCCCAATTTGAGATTCCGTGCACGGACGTCTTTTTTCGGTTTCGCACTTCCGTCTTCTCTCCCCTCTTTTATTACGTATTTCATGTGTGCTTTTTTCATCTTCAATAAACTGAATCTGCCACGTGAATGGTAATTTATTTTTTTACGGTAGAAACCTTTACCCACCCATGCTTGTTCTGCATTATCAAAAAAAATAGCCAATATTAGGGGAAGATACGAATTATTTGTAAATTGATAATGGTCTATCGTTATGTACCGATATAAAGTCTCCTAGGCTCCATCATCTTGTATCGCCATGCATGATCTCTGGCGGTGATCAATGAATTCATAATCTTCTTGGAGGCTTTTTTTGGCGAGAACTGCATTTGTTTGATTGCTTCATCAAGATTTTTCCCTGCTACTTGTCTGGCCAAAAAAGTAAGTTTACGCGGAGATGTACGGAAATTCGTGGTGGAATATCTATGCTATCAGTAATTTGGAAAAAAAATTTATAACTTGCAAAATTAAGTTCAAGATCTAGTCGAATCCAATCCTTGATACATGCCTCTTTATGCTTGAATTTTGCCTCTGTTGGAATCGGATCTCCAATAAATCCAACAATTCTTTCAGGAGGAGGCTTCTTTGGTTTTTCTCCTCTCAATAATGATTCTTTCTGCTTCTCCCCTTTACCCTTAGACGACGACGATGGTGATGGCAATTTATCAGTCTTGCCAGTTCTTTCTGATTTACCGGTTTTTTCAGCACGTCGTTCACGTTCATCAATATCAAAAATTATCGAATGTCCTTGATAAGGACTAACAAGGCGTTGCAATTGTTCATCTCCGAGTGCTTTATCTTTTTCATCTTTGGATGCAAAGTTGTGATTTGTTGCGTGAAATTTCCTGTGTTTGGGTGATTATAAGTTGAACTGTGTTAAAATATTTTTTTATTTTGAATAAATCATTAATTAAGAAATGGTTGTAGCAGCGATTTTGATGACTGACTTTCTTGATTTCGAAAAGGTTTTTTGGATTATTTTCATCCTATTTATTATTTATTTACCTAGAAGATAACGGTATTCTCGTTGACGCGTTTTTTAAGGGTAGTTGACGACTCAAATGAACAACGAATATAGGGGTTTTCAGGCTGGATACTATAGAAACCAATATTTATTATATTTACAACTTCGATTTTAGAAAGTAAGATGTTAAATGAGTACCAAAAGACAACACGCCAAGTCTTGTAAACATATTTAAAATATCTCGTCTTGATGATTAAGAAAATTGAAAATTTTAATCTCGATAATAATAATAATAATAATCATCATGATGTTGACACAAGTTCTAAACCACGTGAGGAGAAAATGAGAGAAGATCAAAACAAATTTAGGATTTTTTTCAACATTATTGTTTGTTACCGTTACTAATTATACAGAATGGTATTATCTATTGGCCAAATATTTTACGTGATCATACTTTTAATAAACTCTATGGCTGTGTTAAACGAGGAGAGATTTCTCGCACGAAGTAAGTCTTAGTCTGCTGCTGGTAGGGGAGGAGATGAAGCAAGTTTAAGCAGGATCAGTTATAGGTTTTGATAAAACAAACACATGTTTTTTGTTCAAGGGCATGAATCTTTTTTATTATGGTGCACCTTTTGAAACAAAATTTAGGCAAAAAAATGAAGTCTAGTGGGAATCAGGATTCAATTGTATATAGATTACGAAAAATTAATTAATTTTTTTTGGAAATAATTAAATAGTTGGCATGAGTGTTCAAACAGATCAAGGATTTGGTGTTGATGGACCCTCGTTAAAACATAACATTATTAATCTTATATCCGCAGTGAGAACATTACTCCGAAGTAAGTAATGTATTTAAAAACAGCCTAATTCTTTAATGTCATCTTTTCTAATTTTGACCTATTGATTAAATAGTTCCATTAATCGTCGTCAATGTTTTGGTGATCGTTTACGAGATATTGCTGGGTTGATTGATGATGGTAATGATGACGCATCAGATTAGAATGGTGAGCATTATTATGATTATAATGAGGATGGAGGATTTTCTGTTTTTATAATCGACAAGCGGGATTGCTTTCTTATTTCCATTTTATGGTGGATGACGAAGTGGTTTGTAATCAATTGTTCAATTATTTGGTAATATGCGGGACGGAAAAAAGCAGAGCTAGTGTTTTTTTGTATGTGGAAAATATATCATTAGAATTTGTATTTTGTTTATTTTTTTAATGAATTGATTGTCATGATGTGATTAATGGGTGTGTGATATAATGGAAGGCATTCCAAGGTGAATTAATCACTCAATCCAGCCATTCAATTCAATAAGTAATATATACATATAATATATATATCTATCGATATATATATTCTTTTAGTAATTCAATAAATTATATATTCTTTTGTATATACTCGTTATTATTTACTTTAAGTTAGTAGAACAAAGGAAAAAAAAACAAAAAAATTTTTATTCCGCCATATGCACCAACTGCATCACAATCTGAAGATATTCATTCTACTTTTCCGACAGACAGATATAACGAAATACAATATTAGTCGTCGCGCCATTCTTCTTTTATTTTCTTGGCTTCTACTCTAATCATATATATACTTTTAATGCTCTAAATCTTTATTCTATTCCAGAAAAGTGAAAATAGACAACATTCGACCACCTCAATCGATTGAATCACTCAATGAAACTGAGATTAACCGTGCACGCGTACATACACGCACACACTGCTTCAAACAACAATATTTATCGTATAATGATTTAGGGTTAAGTCGACCAAGAACCAGAATTTAAGTTAGAGGAGGATGAGTGACCCGCGTCTTAAACATGCGGTCTGGACACTTGGGAAAAAATACGGTGATGGTGCTGATAATGATAACAATTAGGTTATTAATAAATTTTCATTAAAAATAATCATCATCAATAAACAAATAAACAAAACCAACAAACCGGCCAATCAGAAAGATAGAATTCTATTTCTGATTGGTTGGATTTCGTTTATTCTTTCTTTCCTTCGTCCTTGTCTTTTCAATTCAACATCTATCATTATCAATCGCCTCCTTTTTCCTCGTCCTTATCATATCTCGAATTCTTGACGCACGATAGCCCGTCTCATTTTTTATTTATTTATTCTGGTAGTTAGCAAAAACAAACATAACAAGAAAATAGAGAATCCAGTTTGCTTGTTTCACTATCACATATATGCGTATAATTCGTTGTTAATCCGACGATTATCTTGACTCAATTAATTTTCTGATTAGTCCTTAATCTGTTTGGATTCGAGCCGTGTCATTCTATCCTGTCAGCGAGTACATTATTTTGCCATTCTATCCTGCCAATAGTCTATCCCAGAATACTGCTTTCCCTTTTTTTCGGGTATGTATTAGGTGTATGCGTATGAAAGTATAAATGAAATTGATGCGTTATAATGCAATTGGCGTTTTACTTTTCAAATTGAATTGCATTGTCTCTTGACTATCGACCAATTAAGAAAAGAGATAATTATTATGCGATGACCCGAAAAATCAAATTCATAATTGGACGCGCAATCCAAAGGAAAAAAAGTATATCCATCCAATCTGAAACAAAGGCCAAATAAACCCACATGCACAAATTCTTCATCGTCCCCTTGTACGGGCAATGCATTCTAAATCAGACACATAATAAAATACTTCCGCGTCCATCTAATTTGTCTTTCGATAATAAAATCTCGTCAAAAATAAATGTAAACAACTAATGTGTGCAACACCAAAGTAAAACTAACAAATGCACGTGGTATTTGTATCCAGCAGAAATATACATGTGCATAAGGTTTACACAATACATGTATATGTAATCCAGAAAAATCCAGAAAAATTTTTTTCAGTTTGCATAAAATGAACACACGACAGATTAAAGGCACTTTAACTTGAACAATGGAATGATATTGACTTATGCAGGAGCAATATGTATACATGCATAAATTATTGTTATGTAAATAATATCACGTTTTTTCGATAATTTCTAACTTATGTGTTATATGTCCATGGTGTATGTTTTTTATTATAATGGCTACTATTGAATATTTTATTTCGCATGGTCCTCCTCCAACAAAAGAAAAAGGAAAATTATGTAAAAAATCAAATTACGTCAAAGAAGCAGTAGAAAACCGTAACACGAAAGAGAACGATAAATTAATTACGTCAGTAAATTAGATAAATAAGTGAATGCAATAAGGCAGCATCATTCAATGCAAGAAAAAAAGACAAAAGAACCAAAGAATACGTACTACTTGATAATAATCGGGCGCAACATGTCTTGTTTTATCATAAATCGTGGGATAAAAATAAAAAATTACATACGCACTGCTGCATGACGACATGCATTACGAGCAAGGATTCATCCATTATTTGAAAATTAAGAAATCTGTACGGACTATGTATTCCAGGCGTATTTAACAAAAAATTCGAATACATCATTCTTTCCTAAATAATTAATAATGTACATTGTATTCGGGAAGAAAATTTTTTCAACCTAAAGAAAGTGATGAACGGGTTTTCGCCAATGTTTTAAAATAACGTGAATTCGTTTATGGGAATAATTTAAAGTGATGTTTCAATGCGCTATACATGTAGTGAAAATATTTTACTGTTTCACGTGTTTTTTTAAAATAGCAGGAACGAAAAGTTCTGTTTAATGCATTGCATCCATTACAAAATGCTATCTTATGCAGCCAATACAATATCTGCGACTACACACACGCCGATAATCTAGAGCCACTTGTATTAAAAGAGTTTCAATGAAGCATTGGGCATTGGGCATTAGACATTAGCCATCGAACATTGAAGAGAGTTGAATAAGCGCATAGCATATACTAAATCATAAATGGTCTGGGCGTAGTGTAGTTCCTGTGCACGGACTTTTTCTCCTTTAAATTTTTCATTATAATTTGATGTGACTCTAGATATCTGCCTTGTAAGGACCGGGATTGGATTGCACGAATTCTTTGAAATCATATATAGCGTTTGTAAAGAAACAATCATCGAATTGAAGTTCGAAAATTTTTTGTCAATAGCCAAACACGGAATATTTTATGATGCAAGAATATAATAAAATTGCTTGTTTGCATAATGATCTTCTATGCATTAATATTTAAACTAAATGAAGAAAGTATTGGCTCAAAATAAAAGAGCCATACAAAAATTTGCTGAATAACAATTAGTTATTTTGTTCGATTACAAAAGTGGTGTATGCGAGTGCACGCGCATTATATTTACGCGTTTTCGTTTCTGGGATTAAGATTATCTCGTTTTTTGTCTCGTGTAAAATATTCAAAGATAATTACAAAAGTTTCTAATTCATTTATGTTTTAAATGTCAATAAAGAGAAATTTGTCTATCTGTAGGCGCGTATTGAATGTTGCTCATCAAAAAATTTTTCTCACGCAACAATGATGGCATCTGGCATATTGTATTATTTTAACATGTAAAGCAGATCTAAAGATTCACTCTCGAGAAAATCGAAAAGTAAATAAATAAAAATGCAGGGACTCGATATTATACCAAAAGGTTTGTTTATTACATTATTTTTTATTTCAGACAAACAAACCAAAAGACGTATTTATTGTTGTCTGCAAGCATATTTGTTTATGCTCACCTGATTGATACCGTCAAACTTTTAAGAACAAAAAACTGTGAAGAATGTTTGTACCATTGATTAAGAAGTCATGAATACACAAAATCCACATGTAAAATTGAATGAACGAAAACAACAATCATCTCTCGTGGATCGATTGTCATTGTTATCAAATAAAGAAATAGAGGCTGTGATAATGTCTTAATATGTTTACGAGAAATAATGATTGTGGATTTACATACATGAATATTTCTGTAAAAATTTTTGTAATTATCATTGTTATCGCTGTTGCTTCTGATTGCATTATTGTTAGTTTCGCCGAATGAAATGTTATTGTTGCGATCGAACATTTATGCTTTTTGTTTGTTTGTTTGTTTTTTTTCCCGTTCTTTAAAATTATGTTTGTGTGTTTGTTAAATTTTAGGTTTTTTTATTTTACTTGATACATTTAATACAGTTATACTTACTGCTATGTTTAAATTTAATTACATGTGATTAAATAATTGAATTGTATATTTAATTTATTTTCTTAAATGGCAATTTTTAAATTTCTCGAGTTTCTATTCCATTTAATCAAAAAATCAAATCTTAAATGAGTCAGCCAATTTATTGTTATGCGTGTCACTTGATCAATGCTCGGTCTATCGTTATGTAGTTTATGTAGAAAAAAAATCACGAGGAAAATCCAGATTTTACCGGATGTGATAATGGTCTGATCCCTATACAATGATTGTCATTATCCCATCACACACAGTTATTGTTCATTTAAAATAAATAATCTGACACGGAGAAACTTAACAATGGCACTTTTGCGAAATGTTACCGTTACATTTCTGTTCTATTATCTATATGTATTTATTATTATTTAATCACAAAATATAATTTCTTTCTCCGCGAGAGAAAACCTCATTTAGGTATAACTTGAGATATGTATGATAAGCAACTAGAATAGTTAAACGATGACGAATTTTACGAGTTGTCTGTGTGTTATCGATAATATATGCTTGAGAATAAAAATAAATGGATCGGAAGGACACAAATATTCTGTATTGTCGTAATGCCAAATACATCCGTTTTGTACATCAGGAAATAATTTTAAGGATTTTTTTAGGTTCAATGATCTTTGATCTGTATCGTATCGACAAAATAGAGTTCTCGGTGTACACATATATTATTTATATTTGTATTTGAATTTTTATTGTTCTAGTAGTCTCTAGAAATACTAAATAAATAAATAAAATGATGCATTTTAGTTTAGTTAATTAGTTAATTTAGTTTAATTAATTTAGTTAATTAGTTAGTTTAATAAAGTGGAAACGAAAGCAAGACTTGAACCTGCTGATTACCAATTATTCAATTTAACCAATTAACTCAATCTATTTGTCTTCTTTACTTAGTATTTATTGTCACTAATATAAAATAATATTTAAAATATGATTTTGCATACATATTTCCGCCGAGTTCTTCTTTTCTTCTAATAGACAAAGAAATCATGATTCTTTTTTTCGAATATTCTTTTTCATTTACTATAATGATTAAATAGTCAAGCATAACGATGATGTTCACAATAGTAATAGAAATAGGTCTATTTTAGGTGAATTGAATGATACTAAACATTTTATTTCCATTTCCATTTCTTTATTGGAAACATATCACGTTACCGCTGCATATAATGATGCCAAAGACTACTGCTCCCAAATATCATGCGCTTAAGCATTAACAGCCCACTAACCAAAGAATTATTTATTTTATATAATGGTCGGATTGCATTAGCTCATACATCCATTCTTTGACCAAGAATCTACGAGAAGAAAATCGCAGGTGATCATTGAAACAATGAAAAGTCACGTACACCCTATCGAAACACTTGTGTGTATCAATTTGCTATTGCTATCATCATGTGTAGTGTATCACGCAAGACACCTAAATGGTGGATACCCGCTTGTATCCAATCAAAATGACTATATGCAACAGAGAGGGACATGTGCGCTTACACGCGGGTATCGCCAAGAATAGAAATATTCTCAATGCCCAAATAAACGCCTCATTTCTATTTATCTTCGTGGTGAATGGATATTAGTTATGGGACCTTCCTTTGTTTGTCTATGTGTTTCGTCTTTCTTTGATTTGGAGATATTAGGATCAAGATAGTAAGCACCATGTAGCATGTAAGCGTATAGATATTTTGCACATGTGGAAAGATTCGGTCTTTTGATGATTTTTTCCTTTCTCTTTTGATTCACCGTTTTCCTATTCACCACCTATTTACTATCTACGAGTCTTTCGAGACATTTAGTCGGGCGTACAGTTTCTGTTTTTTCTTTTCTTGACTACTTTCGGAAGGTGACACCATTATGTTTTTATATTTGAAGCTTGTGAAATGTTTCGCAATTGATTTCTTTGGGATACGAAGATGATATCATTTTATTCGATGCGGGGGATCTCGCTCGTTTTGCTTTAATTATTTAGGATTTTTGATTTCTCATTATTGACTAACAATGATTTTTTGCATGTTAACTTTGCTGGCTTTAATTGTTCGCGCTTAAATTAAAACCTTAAAACGATGATCAATTACGTGATTACGATTAAGGGAAACAAGAGAAAGAAGAAAAATATCACCACACACGACTTTAATCAATGAATGAGTTTATTCTGTATTGTTTGGCCATCCGCTTTGACAACTTCTTCGAGTCTATTTCTGTTTTATTGCTGTTTTGCAAGAAGAATTTCTTATTCGACAATTTCAGCGGTAAATAGAAAGATTTTCCATTGTTTGAATTTTCTTTTCGAGGGAATCGTTATCATTGTTAGAGATTTTCGGGAAACAGCGAAGCTTTCTATAACTCGCATGTCTATACCTTTTAGATACATTCTGTTACTAAATTTGGATATCGAAATGTCTGGAGAAAATAGAGTTGGGCTTTTCTCTGTATACACATACAAGTACATTATCATTAACAGAAGACTTCTTATTAAATAATAAGAAAAAAATTGACAGAAAAAGAGAACGAGAGAACAATAGAATACATCGATGTTTGTTTAAGCTTTCACATTACTAAGGAGTAAGTGGTATCATGTTCAAGAGATGACATGCTGTGTGTGAGAGAGAGAGAAGAGAAAACTGACCTTCCTTGCTGACCGATCACTATAGACGCCACGAGTCAACGCCATATGCAAAATTAAGCATATAATATGCGATTTAAGCGATACAATTTTACGCATTTTCATATGACATTTTTTTATCAATGATGCATACATATACAAAATAAAATGCATCTGTGAGAAACTTCCACTAAAAATCATCTGTCATTTCATGATAATGAATTTTCGATAGACAAGTTGATCTTTTCGTTTAGATCAACTGCCAAATGATTTTACGCCAAAAGCGAGTTTGGATCTTCCTAATTCCTTCATTACTGGAGTTTTGGTTGGCGTAAAATAATCATAATTGCACTAATAACCGACGGGGTTGATTGTCTATAATTCAATCATCATTTTCTTTTGCGACTTTACGTGTCACATAAAACAGACGCACACACATTTAGAATTGATATTTTCTCGTCGTTCCATGCATGTTTCAATATCCGATTCACAACCTAGAACATCATTTATTTATTTTTGTTCGTTCATGCGCGATATTAATAAAAAAATGGTATTAACGACATACGACAATGATCTTTTTTTAATTAATACTTTGCACATGACGCAGAGAAAAACGTGGTGTAGGAGGATGACTTAGAAAGAAGCCAAAATAAAGGAAAGCTTATATGTACATATCCCCTCTGGGAATTTATCTAGGCGTTTGTCCTTAATCTTGATAATAACACATGATGAACTCGGGGATGAAAAAAAATTTAGTTAAAAATAACGAGAATTTTGATAATAGATTTAGGTTACTCTATCAGATATCACATGGATATGTGATATTATCCTAGAACAATGACACCAAACAAATAAGCAAACCAACCAGACAAACAAAAATTTTTTTTCCGAGACATACTACTACGAGATATTTAGAAGAACGAAATTACAGTATCAAAAGGCTTCTATTCCAATAACTTTTCAAGACCGAAAGATTAAACCAGCCTAACAACAAGTATGCACGTATGCAAAATCAATAATAGGATAAAATGAAAATTCTCACACTATTTTTCAGATTTGCCATTGATTGGTTCGGTTAACCCTATTATCATTATTTCCGTCAATCTTGTCATGATGTCGAAATTAATATTCTTTCACAATCATTTTCATTACTCGACTGCATGCTGTTGATTTGGAATACCCGTAGATGAAGCCATTCGTAATCAAAATTCCCACGGAGAATTTTGTGATTTCTGGATTTGCATCACGAAAATACAAATGTGCTCCGGAGAATTTGAAAACTTTCGTGCGTCTTTCGTGCATGTTTTTTTGAAAATATTTACAATGCACTAATGAGTAAGTTCATTTTCATTAAAATTACGTGCAAATCAACCAAACAAACAAGCATTTAGCCGAGGAAGAAATACATGTTAGATTCAACAATGTTGGTATGGTATTATTTAATTGAAAAAATTGAACAATAACACAATTTTTGTATTGAAAAAAAAAAGAAATAAAATAATTGGTGGCTTCTAAGAAAAATTTTTTTATCGAAATATAGAAGCAAAAATACTAAACAAACAAACAAGACAAATAAAAATGTACAATGGTCTTATTTCCCGATCTACCACACATGTGTTGATTGTGTTCGGGTTTTTCGCCTGTTGGCTGAGAAAATAAAGTTAACGTTAATGAGCATCGAATTATCGTAATGCACGATTTTCAATAATGTCAGCCATAATATTCGGGGAGAAGGGATAATGTTGCTTTTGATGTTCTGTCGATTTTGATGATTTGTGCCTTTTTAAATCATTAATACAATGCCAACAACATACAGCATACATACACATGTACAATACAATGAAAATAATATAACATGTGAATAAAAATAGTTCATTAGTGGTTTTATGAACGACGCCCATTAAACTTTTGATAATATTAAAATTTCGTAGAAACGATACCATGTGAGAAAACATTAAAGCATTTTCAGTAGTACAATAATAGGAGAAAATTAAATTTTTTGAATTTTTGGTATTACGCGTTTTTTTTTATTGAACGCGTCTCTTTAACGAGACAAAATTGTAAAAGAAAAAGCGGCGTTATTTTTATACTAATATTGTCTATACTGAAGAAAAAACAATTATCAGCTACGAGAAGGGTAGTAAAGTGAACAAAGGGAAAAAAAGGCATATTATATGAAAAAAAGAGAAAGTTACAGCAGAAGCAGCAGATTCAAAAAATAAGAGCGCCATATAAATATATCGAGTGGACCATTTCTATGAAGAATTCCAAAAGAGGAACAGACGAATACTAAAAGAGAAATAAATTGTTTGAAAAAAAAAATATCAATCATAAACCTCTTCTTCTGAATATTAAAATACAGTAGTAATTTATTACTATGTGCGAGAACATGAAAGTACATTGCAGCAGATACATTATTATAACTTATGCGTGCATATTTCTAACTGGATAAGCCTTATCACGTTAACCTACATATCAACTATCTAAACTTTATCAAGTAATAGTTCTTCGCTTTTTACGAACACCGGCCGATGAAGGAGGATAATAGGGAAGAGAGAAAAGCGAGATAGAACTCAAAATAGAGCATTATTTTATCACCTTTACTTACTTTTAGGTTTAAAGTGATTTATGTACGTTAGCATTTGTATCAGGTAAAAAATCATCACATTCATCCATTGATCTCTATATTCTTTTTTCTTTTCGTCTTCTCCACTTCTTTTTTTTCCTTATAAAGATCAAAAAAAAAATAAGAAGGAAAAACAGGAGGCATAACGTAACGACAGTACATTCATCTTTCGTAATCATCTTCACTTTTCATAATCATCATTATTACTTATCTATCACTTATTATTATTATTGTTTTTTATGGATGAACTGTATATTTTCTTTTTTGTCTCAAGCTTGTTCTAAACTGTTGTGCGGGCGCGCGGGATTTTTCTCAGCGTCATCGTCGTTATTGTTAGCGTTGTTATTATTCTACTGTAGCTGTTTTGGGAAGTTATCTTGTGTTTTGGGAAGTTACTTTGTGTGGGGTTTAATGCAAGAATGGCGAGAAAAAAAATGAAAATGCAAAGAATTGGTTATGCAGAAAGCAGAATGTTACGAATTTCGTAAAAAAGATTATGGGGCGATATATTAACTTTATAATTCATATCCCTTAAAATCAATGAAACGCTATACTTTTAGGTATTCAAATGTGAATACCTATATCATTGATGATTAAGTAAACTTGTTAATTCGATTTCTATGAATTGACGAGACAATTCTATTTTTTTTTTCATTAATGATAGATAAGCAAGATGCATCATACAGCAAAGATAGTGCGTTGCATTATTATATTCTGAAATTTTGTGGAGAAAAATCCCAAGCTAACGTAATTACAGTAATATGATAACATTAATAATATCTCGTCTGAAACTTGTTGGTTTTTTTTCTTATGCTGCTGATGCAGCGCTTTGTAATTGTTAATAAATCACTATATTTATTATTATCATTTCCAAAAGCTAAAGTGCAGTCCTATTCTAATTCTAATTATTGTAGTGATAGTTATTATTATTATTATCATCATCATTATTTATTTATTTATTTATTTATTTATTTGTTTATTGTTTTTATAATTAATAAAGTTTTTATTTGGTATTGTTTTATATTTGTGTCTTAGACTCATTGGTTCATTGATTCATTTATTAATTCATATTTTGGAACGGTCTCTAAAGAAATCACGCTTACACATCATGTACATGTATGAAATTGTTTCATAGCTTTATCCTATTATTTGTTATTCACCAAATTCATATTTCCGATCCAATTTCATTACACTGGCAGTCGGAGAAAGAGAATAACGTCACTTCACATCAAGTCACGCATGCACGCACCCCTCCTTCCGCCTGCTCTTAATAAATAAGGAAAAATGAAATGACGGGTCATGAATTAAAAATTAAATCGAGCAACTTTAGAAAGAAAGGGTGCGAGTGTATAACAATATGCCATTATAGTAAATTTATCGTTCATTATTTCCGACGCTGCTCATACTAATGAGTTCACCGTCCCCCGTCCGGAGATAAAGGATTTTTTCTTTCCTTTTAATCTTTGAGAATCACTACTAGAATCTAGAATGTTTTCGCAATGAATATAATGAATACACACACACACACACATATAATATATAATATATAATATATATACACATACATACATACATACATATATACGTATATATCTATCAATGATAATAAGTAAAAAAAAAACTAGTTTATGCTTCACCCCGCAAAAAAAAGCTCAGAGCAAGTATCTTTCTCCACCTCATTCACCGTTAACATAATCACAGTCATCGTCATCAATTTTTTTCTCCCCACAGAAATCGCGATCCAACTAGCAGTTTCTTTGTCGATTCAATAGATAACTAGTCTGCAGTATATATTATATATATTATTCTTATCGGCACTTTCTATATTTATCGATTGTATTTTAAATTTAATGAAATTAATTAGTATATTTAATAGAGTTTATTCACAGTAAACCTAATTTTATTCACTAGACATGTACCTCGCCCCTCATGAATTAAACTGGACAATTCATTGGACTGACTATCTGACAAAGCATTAATTAAAGTAAAATAGATGGATAACTTCTGATAATATATAAAATAATATTTGTGGGATTTTACCATTGTCACCTATCACCTACATTATTTGCACCATCATCATCGAGTTAGTAATCCTCGAGTGAAAATTTCAAATCTTGAAACTTGAAATTATTTCAGCTTTTAGATGCATGTTCTTTTTAGAAGAAGAAGTATTTTCCATTTGGCCTAATGATCATTATTTTGCGTCGACTTGTGTGGTCGATAATGTTTCGAATGGAAGTGAGAATATACGCATGCGTGTTTGATATGTTTCCGATTTTCTTCTTTTTTCTAAGGGTTTTGCATACAATGAGTTGGTAACTAGCTGTTATTCTATCGCTATTATTCGTTCGTAAAACTCATAAATACCTAAAAATAATAATGATAAGAATTTCTCTTATTTCCCTTTTTAGTAAATAAGAAACATACAAATAGTATTTATTTTTTTTATAAAAAAACATGCAATTGAATTAGCAGTAATACATATGCGTGCAATGGATGATGCTGTGATAGTGTTGTTGAAGTAACCATTATTAGTTTCTGGTGGTTTTTTTGATGAAAAATTTGACAATACAAACCTATGCACGAAATAAACATAATGATAACAACAACAACAATAATAATAATATGATTGCTACTCAAAAAATTGTCTTTCCTAAATCCTTGACACATTATCCTTGACTTTATCACTTTGAATTCCATCTCACCACAAATCACAATTTGTATTATCCCCGCTTGAATTTACGACAACGAAGAAGACGCGTTTTTCTCAGACACTCTTCCCAAGCATTGATTCAGTAATTGCAAAAAATCCAGTATTGAAAGCAAAGAAAGGAATAGACTGAATTTATCATAACAAATTGTATTTAATTGAAGTCTCAAAAAAGCGAACTCGAGGATAAAGTTTTCCCTTAATTATCTACATCATCATATTCATCAATAAATAAATATATATATATATAAATTCTTTCTTCTTTTTCTGCAGGAAAAAAAATTATGTGAGAATAAAAATTTAAATCCTAAAAATCAGTCAGAAAATCATTGATCGCTTTAAAGAATTTAAAGATTTAAATGATATTATGTACATGTATATGCAAAGCAATAACGATAATAAAACTTTACGCGCAAAAATATAATTTATTGACCCGATCTAAAGTAAAGCCATACACTGCTAATTGCTTCTTCGATTGCAGCACTCGCATTGTAAAAGCTTGCATCCCGTCCATCCGAATCATCTCGCAAAAAATTAATATAATCAAAATCATATCTATCCATTAATTCCTACTTTTACGTTCTACGTACATTACACACATTAGGTCATAAATTCACATAAATTGTTGTTCTCTTCTTTGTACTTTCTCTCATCTTGAGAATTTTGATAATTCTTTTGTTTCCTTCTAACCGACAAATTCCATTGCCGTGTAAAAAGAAGTTAGCGAATCCGTTCCATTCAAAATTAGTAAATTCATTCCATCCTTTCGTTTTTCAATTCAAATTTCCGATTGAGACTTTAATCTTTTTAGAATAGTTACTTTAAAATTTTGTCTATGTGCACTTGTTTCGGAATTCAGTTGTGATATCTCCAGATATCACCTAATCACTCCACTTTTACAATATAAAATATACTTTATAGTATTACAAAAAATTTTTTTTATTATCAAGTACAGCGTTATACATTAGGTTAGTTATCAAATTCGAGTTTTCATCTTTCCTTGTCTCTTGTCTTACCATAAGACTTTATATATATATATCTTGCGTTTTCGACCACTCTCTCCTCCCGAATCAAATCAAATTGATTTCTTTTAATTAATTAATTATAAATAATTTATTGATTTTTATCATTTTTTTGCTAGAAATTATATTAAAATTATTACGTCAAATATCGACGCCACCTTACCACATTAACGTTCATACGTATCCCCAAACTACCAGCATCTTAGCAAAAAATTAATCGTTCTGATATAATTCTCGCGCTAAACATTACGTTTTAGCCAGACACAATAAACATCCCCAAAAAAATTTCAATAATTACGTCTGGCACGTTGTAAAATTAATTCTCGCACATTCATCACATAAATATTATATTCTTTAAAAGAAAAAAATTTTATAATATAGTATCACTTTATTTGTATTGTGACACATAACAACGATATATATACCCCAGGTACCTCGCTTTACGGCACCTTTACCTTTTCTATTCTTCTCAAAGGTTTACGCACTATTTACTTTCACGACTACTTGTATATATACACCCGAAACGATTATTCCTTTATTTCTTTAGTATAAACGACTTTATAAAAAAAACTCCATTACTTCAAAAAACCACAACTTAAAAACACTTAATTTTCTCAGAATACAACAATGGCCTCCACATCAGTTCGGTAAGTAAAAACGATAAAATTTTATTATTTCCTTTATTCTCTCCTGCCGTTGCGTATATTATTTCGCTCTTGTTGCTCTTTATTGTGCAAGTGTACAACCATACAATAAACGAGATACCTATTTTTCATTATTGGTTTTTTGTATCACCCAACCCATAAATAATTTAATATTAACATACTCCGTTTTCCATTTCTCTCATCTCGCTCATTACAAAACACCACCCTCGAATAATATGATAAACAATAATAATGACAAAAACATTTGACAACACAATATGATACAACAGCGTCGCCTTAAGAGTTCGTCCGATGAATAAACATGAAGTTCATATCGATTCCAAAGAATGCGTCACTCTAGTACCGGACGCACCACAAATAATGATTGGGTCCGAACGATCCTTCACATACGATTACGTCTACTCGTCCGACACCGCTCAAGAAGATGTTTTTGGATCCTCCGCAAAGCCATTGGTTGACAAATTAATAGAAGGGTAAGTCATCTAGTTAATGGAATTGAGAGAACAGTCGGCGCGTCGATAAAACGCCTTTATTTGTCATTTCGCCCTTTGCATAATCAGTTCAATCTTGTCTTTCGTCAATCAATTTTAAATTTCCTTTTTTCTCTTGTACTATTATTTTGTTTATCGCTTCAATGTTTTCTGCTTATATGCTTTGACATATGGTCACGTCGTACATTGCAAACAACAATCTTCCGATGCATCGCATCCATTATAACACACACACACACAAACGCATTTAATTTTGAATTTCTATCTCATCTCTTATCCCCATTATCGCCGCCGTCGTTAATTCCCATAAAAAATGATTTTCTTCACTTGAAATACACAAGCACGCATGCTAATATTCTATCTTAATAATTTCCAATCATTAGATTCAACACCACAATATTAGCATATGGGTAAGTAGCTTTAACTATAACCTATTTGTCTTCCTATAAATGGTGAACTAGCCATAGCATAAATCTAACTCTATTATTTCTATCATGCAGACAAACCGGGAGCGGCAAAACTTACAGTATGGGCACTGCAATCGACGGTTCAAGTATCACGCCTGAACATCAAGGTAACAAACACGTCATTTCTATTTTTGTTCATGCTGCGACCTGCATATCACATAACCCCTTTTTTCAGGTCACACATTTAATTCCCATTGTGTACATCTTTATTAACTAAATTAACTAAATTATTTTTCATTATGACGCCCCACACAAACATTTAGGCATAGTACCACGAGCGATAACTTACTTGTTCCGAGAATTGGAAGCTCGACAAGCACTAGACCCAACATTCAAATATGAAGTGGCCGTCTCATTTCTCGAATTATATAATGAAGATTTAATTGATTTATTAAATCCCGCTAGTCACGAAAATCATAAAAAAGGAAATAAGAGTGACACGATACATATCCGTGAAGATTCTAATGGCCGGATATATTGGCTCGGTGTCAAGGAAGTCACTGTCTCTTCTCCCGAAGAATTATTAGGGTGAGTTTTTATTAGATTACCGAATTAATTCATACAAAATTGACTTCTAACTTTCTATTTTTGCCGTTAGACAATTACAAAAAGGTTCAGGACACCGAACAGTCGCATCAACAGCAATGAATGCAGTCTCATCACGGTCCCATGCAATCTTCACTGTCATCTTACATCAATCACGAGTTGAGGATCCAGAGGCTGATAAAGAAAATAATCCAGCACTTGCCTCCGAAGATCAACCATCTACCTCAAAGAAAAGCAAAAAGAAAGCACGCACTACAAAAATCACGTCGAAATTTAACTTTGTTGATTTAGCGGGATCCGAACGAATGAAGAGAACCAAGGCTACCGGCGACCGAGCCAAAGAAGGAATCGCAATTAATGGTGGTCTCTTAGCTTTGGGCAATGTTATTAGTGCCCTTGGCGATGAATCGAAAAAGGCTATCCACGTACCTTATCGAGACTCGAAATTGACTCGTTTATTACAGGATTCATTGGGTGGAAACAGCCATACGTTAATGTTAGCATGTATTTCACCGGCTGATACGAGTTTCTGTGAATCCTTAAACACACTTAAATACGCCAACCGTGCCCGTAATATCAAAAATTTAATCACTGTGAACGAAGAATACGGCGAATCCTCGGCTGAAGTCATCCAACTCCGCCAAAAACTTGCTAAATTGGAAGCAGAAATCACGAATCTTCGAGCGGGTGGAGTTGATGAGACAGTGAAACACGAATATGAAGAACAAATAAAAGAACTGCGAGGTATAGCGGGCCAAGAGAAATTAAAGCGTTGTAAACTTGAAGCCGAGATGCACACTGTTTGTGCAGAAAGAGACGCTTTCGCAGCCGAAATTAAATTATTCGAAGAAGAATCTGGCTCATATACGAAAATGCCGCGAACCGGTTTGTCAAGTCCGCGTAAAACTTCGCTTAATAACAACCACGGTGCTGGCACGTCAAGTCCACGAAAAACTTCCTTAAACAATGTTACTAACAATAACAATCATCATATAACCTTTGCGGACGATGACGCCGGTGAAGGATCAAGGTATCATGAAAATCTTCGGGAAGAAGGACATCATGATAATTATTATAATGGACACGACGAAGGAAACTCGGAAGCCCCTGAAAGCTCTCATGACGCGGCAAATAACAAAGAAAATACTGAGACGCCACGAAGATTAAGACGTACTGCAAGAGACACTATTGAGCAAGCAAGAGAACAAATAAAACAAGGACTGTTGTTCCTGAAAAATGGTGGATCAAAACCTGAAGATCCTCTTTTAAGTCGATTGATCAATACTCCATCGTCAACAAAAAGCGAAAGTTATATTGATCAAATGATCAAACCCAATACTCCACCCGAAAAACGACGATCTGGAAGCGTTTCGTTCAGCGACGTTCAAACGATTGAAGTTCCAGCATGGGAAGAATCTACCCCACCACAACCTGTTCGACGCTCTTCTGGCTCCAGTCGGTCTGTAAGTTTCTCTGATCAACAAATTTCACCACACTCCACAAAATCATCATCTCAAAATAGTACAGGTAACTCTTCGCAGCAACAAAATGCCATAACTCTGCAGCGTATGTTGCACCAAATACAAGCTGATATAGAAGTTAAAGAACAATTGGTATCTCAGTTAGAACGAGCAGAAGAAGAATTTACTGCAATGCGTATTCATTATGACAACAGGATAACTGCAATGAATCAATATTATGAGGAGCAAATAATTGCGATGAGAGATAATATCGTTTCTCTGGAACGCGAAAGAGATGCAGCTTTGAAACGTGGCGGCGGGGGCAGTATCAGCACTCGCGACAAAGCATCAGTAATTCAAGAAATGAAGATGCACTACGAACACAAACTGAAGAAATTGAGTATTGAATTACTTGATTTGAACAAGAAATATCATGCTTCAAATCACGCTCATCAACTCACAAAATCACAGAATGATTCGGCGGTCAAAAGCATGAAAGGACAATTAGAACAGCTTAAGGCTGAAAAGATAAGAATGGGGAAAAGCTTCAAAGATGACGCTGACAAAATCAGAGAAATGACAGAAAGAAAAGACAGAGAAATCGAAAATCTCCGAAGAAAAGAAAAAGTAGCTCAAAAAGAACGGAAACGAATAGAAAGAGCGCATGAATCACAAAGACTTGTTCTCGAAAAACGAAACAGAGAAGTGTTGCAAATCAACAATAAGCTAAAAGCTGTTATGCTCTTACTAAAACGCACTTCCACGCCAAAGGCCATCGCCAAAGTATTTCGAGGAAAACGACCAAACAAAGTCGTCCCTGTTCCCAAAGATGATATTCATTCGGAATTATTTTTAATTGCCAAAGAAAAACGAAGGAGTATCGATCAAGCACTTGATCAATTTGTATATACTAAAGGATCATCGCAATTGCTCGATGAATTATATCGAAAAAAAGAAGAACTTGTGCATAAACAACAAACACGACGAAATGAAAGGGAACATATTGACAAAGAATATTTGGAAGTTTACGGAAATCTTGACTTGATTGTGCAAAATGAACGAGCTTCAAAATTGGATGGCGAGATTGAACTACTCCAACAAGAAATCTCACTTATATCTGCACAAATTCGAGCAATTCATGATAACGTTGGAAATTATAAACCCGAAGGAATCCAGTACGAAAACGGTTTCGGGGCAGCAATAAAAATTATGAAGGACCTCGATCCATTTGAGCAACAGACGTTACTCGAATCATACTTGGAAGATGTTGTTGGTCTTCGCACAAAAGAATGGTCTCATGAGGTAAAGGAACAACACTATGAAAAAATCCTTGCTGATCTAAGACAGAAATTGATTCTCATGCGAGAAGCCGGAAAGATGACCACCTTTACATATGAAGAAAAAATAAAAAATCTTGAAGAACAACTCGGAACTAGACTCGAAGATGGAGTGTATTCCACACATCTTATGTTTGATAAGATATATCAATCCACGTTTGACGACAATATCTTAGGTGGTGCCATAACTGACAGTCCAACTCTATCACCTGAACGACAATCACAACGACCATCACTTCCTCAAGAATGGATGGAAAATGGTCAGTCAACAAGAAAATTAGAACAAGAGGCAAATGCGGATATCGATAATCGTCGAGTATTAAGATTAAGACGCGAAAGCCAAAACTTTAACAGAGAACGTCGAGATTCAAGCGCAAGTGAAAAAGATATAAACGAAATAAAAGTTCGACGAAATTCCGCCACTGTCAGTGAAAAAGAAATGTCAGCAGATTCAATCAAACGCCGAAGTTCTATCATACACAGAGATTCTGGATACTTTAGCGGCGTATAAATCATTTATAATCATCATTCATCGAACTTTATTTTTTAGAATTTGAAAGTTTACCTATGGAAGTTTATTCATAAGATAGAAAATAGAATAATAATTGTAATAATATAAAATCTTCTCTTGTTATATATTTTTTCTTTTTTTACTTTTTGATTTACATATTCAATTTCTTATATAAAAAAAACTTGTAAATATTAAAAACTACATCAAAAAATCAAGTGCGTCTTAATAAAGAATATATCCATTTTTGGATAATGTCATGTATGCTATTATCTGTGTAATACACCAAATCATCTTCGCCTTTTGGTAAAGGCATTGACTAACAGACATTCTGCTGGGATTAATGAAGCTGTTGTTTTTTGTTCATGTAGAAAAAAATGCGTCTCATTCCAAGCAGCATTCGTGTCTCGGTTCCAAACAATCTGCCAGATAAGATAAATAGTGATAAAAATTGAAGATTTTTCGTACCTGCCGCAGCTCTGAACAATCCTTTAACTGGACCGGGAGGGTAACAGATGATTCTCGGGTTATCTTTAGTGATTCGTGTAGAAATGACGTTATACGCCTTTTGATGGTCGATGTATGTCTCGTTACTCCTTTGTGCTGCATGCAACCACATCTTTCTTTCTCTTCTCATGCACCGCGAGAACCAATCCCTCCTTCCAGGATCCAATCATGTGCATTAATCCCATTCCACTATTCAGCCGGTTGTTTCAAATTTACACTTATGCTAGTGCCATCAGTCATAATGCTATATATGCAAATTGGCGATTTGCTGTTGACACTTTATAAACATGGAACCAATTATCATAATTTTCCATGAAATTTTCTCTAGATACATGCTGCCCGCCTGCAAATCAGCTGTTGAGAATAATCGAAAAGATGTTTTTGTGTCAATAAGAATAAAGTGTTGACGGAATAATGTCAAAGGAGCAATGTTGAAAATGCTATGAGCTTGTATGAATTATCTTTAAGAAGTTTTTTAACGTAATTTTTTTCAAATATTTTTAGAATTTTCAATATCTTTATTACAAAGCCTTTATTTGAGTTTCATCTAATAACAGCCCCTTTAAAATAATGTTTTTTGCTTTGTCAAATCTATATAATAAACTTGCTAATATTCAAATTTAATAAAGAATAAATATATAACAAAAATTATTTATTAACAAGTTATAATCAAATTATATAAATAAAAAACTGTTTACTTATTATAAAACATGATATAAAATGTTATATTTTACTTTATAAAATTTGTTGTAAATCAAATTTGTAAATTTAGCCAGAATTAAAGTATATTTGACCAAAGTATATTCTGGTTTATATATGATTTTGAATATATAACATGAAAAATATATTACTAGAAAACATATTTTATATTGTATTTTATAATATCTTTTATTATTCCATATTAAAATCTGCTAAATAATATAATATATATAATATATTACAAATATGTCATTGCTAATTAAAAATATATTTATTTATTTATTCAAACAGCTTAAAATAATAATTTTATAAAATAATTATAATTAAATACTTTTGTTATAGGTGTATTATATAAAAATATTGTTATAATTACATTATTTTCAAAAATCAACTTTTTATATTATAATCGAATTTATGAAAAAATTAATAATAATATAATTATAAAAAATACAAGAAAAATTTATAAACCAAGAAATTTCAAAATAGCATTTTCAATTATAAATACAAGAACTAATTTTGCAAGAAATTTGTAAAAATCAATTTTTACAATTTATATTTTTCGCATATATTTTTTATTTGAATTATAAAACTTACAGAATAATTTAGATATACAACTGAGACTAGTTTAAAAACCAGTCTCAATTTGAAAGTGGATGTGTCATTAATGGGTATCATTAATTGTATAATTATGATTCACAATTTGAAATGCTATCAATATTATCTCGTTCAATTTATTTTAGTATTCTTTTATAACTGCTTTTTTATAAGAACTCTTTACAAGTAGTTTTTAAATACGAAATTTTCTCTACATTTAAGTGCGACCATAAATCATGGCTTTATCTAGTGTTTTTTCAAGCATGAGGTGAATTCATTAAGAGATGGATTGAAAGAATATATGTTTCTCTGAGTTTGTAAAATAAACGCAATGTTTTAGTTCAAAATCAAACATCCCTCGCAAAGTCATGATTTTAAACATTCGCATCTTTAATATTGCTCCTTTGACATTATTTCATCGATTCATCGACACTTTTTTTCAGTTGTTCTCAACAGCTGATTTTGCAGGCAGGCAGCGTGTCTCTAGAGGAAACAACATGAAAAATTATGATAATTGGTGGAAATAGCATTCCATGCTCATAAAGTGACTGCTTATTCTGCATATAGTATTATGACTGATGGCCAGCTGAATAGTGGAATGGGATTAAAGTGGAAAAAACAACCTCATTGTTGGATTGGATTCTAGAAAGAGGGATTTATTTTCTGCAATGCATGGAGGGAGAAGGGAGGATGTGGTTGCATGCAGCACAAAGGAGCGGCGACAAATATCCGGAATTATATATCGTAGGAAAAAACTAGACACATGGCTAAAAAATAATGCTCAGGTTCAAGCTCTTTTAGGTTTATATTTATAATCACATTTTTTGTGATAAAAATTAGATCACATAAAATACGTTAGTGTTAAAAAATAACACACATTGTTGCCGAAATTAGTAGTAGCTATACTATTTGGATACATATTTAATTTTTCCGTGTGATTTTTTTTCGCGCGTGAGCAAATAATGAAAGAAGATAACAATTGACAAAAAATATGATAGATGCCCTTTTTTGGTGTTTGCTTTCTTTTTTTTCGATAGAGCAACGTTTACATTTTCCCAAAGATCAATTATTTCTTTCACACGGGGGTTTTTTAATAGTTAGTATAAATAACACGCTTGTGATATGTGATATCAGCATTTGGCATTGATATGTTTTATTTAATAACATTACACACGGACATTTTTCATAAAACAATAACGACAACGATAATGACACGTAAAAAGGAAGTTTCACATTATCTAGATAGTTTTAACACACAGACACATCACGTTTCAAATTTTTTGACGTTACGTATCGATCACACACAATTTACATAATAAGCTTATATTAAATTAAAAATTTAAACTAATTAAAGAAATTATAATATAAAATAAAGCTGCCACATATATACTGTTAAATAATAATATAACACAGTTAAACACGGCATATACAGAAGAACCATAATAAAAACCATAATGGCAACCATTGTATTAAATTATGTAAAAATGTTTGTTACATGCATCCTCTTGAAGTTTTTTCTGATTCTAGCTATTCTATACAATACGATGCATGCATTATTCTTTGATGTTTATGTTTGTTTTCTATCGGGAGCAGCTTTATTCTTTTAGTGCTTTAGGTAATAGAGTAAAAGAACAATGGATGACCAGACCAGACCTTCTTTTGGTCTTTTTTTTTCACTTCTTTCCTACGAAGCAAAGGACAAAATCTATCACTCAATCATTCTCGTGCATCGTATGTAAAGTGAATGGCATTTAAAAAGGGAGGCACGAACTAAAAAAAATCTCAACAATATCAGAAATAAAGAGGATTTTCCGTTCAGCAAAAATGTGCAACCAAGCGTACGCACAAATTCCATCATCACCACGTGGTCAAGTCAGACAGACTAGTTTTGGAAAGTGTAAACTATAAACCAAACACAATAAAACAATAGGATGTGTTACCTCTTTTGTTCACGCGAAAGAGCAATTTATACGTATTTCGAGAAAGTGATTTATGGAAATTTTATTTGAATCGAGCAGAGGAATGACTCTGGTCTGCACTGTGCCTAATTTTGATTCATATATAGCAGGGTTGTTGATGTTAATTTTATGCACAATGATTTTTTGTCTCCTATATATAGTATTGCAGTCTATTCTTTTTTGCCGGTCAACCGTTATATTTTTGTTAATTATTTTATTGAAATGTTCGTTCCCAAAGTCTAAATAAATGATCTCGAACCAATAATATATAACAAAAATGATAAAAATAGAGACACACGATCAGAATTAAGTGCCCAATTTGAACAAAAATTATGGCTGATTTCCATACACATTCAAAACATAGTTTTGAGAAAAGATCATAGTATATCGCTTCACTATAATAATACAAAGCTCTCTGGTGCATTGAAAATTATCGACTTAAGATCGCGTGCATTTTATTTGACCTGGCAAATTTATGGTTTTTATAACACCACCAAAATAATCTGACGTCTCAAAAAGATTATAGCAACTAACAAAGCATATTTTCATAATATCGAAGGCCGTTAAAGTCTCGCTTTCTCAACAATCTCTTGAAAAATGTAGTGATCACATCCAGATTGTCCACTTTTTCTGCAAAGAGTGAAAGTTTCGTTTCGCAATCACTCGAATCTTTCGTTCATACTCGCAGATGGCTTCTCAACATCATCAACGTTCTTCTCCTGCTAAGCCCAATACTTTATAATTTGTTTCTTTGTTTTTGTAGAGAGAAATTGGTAAAGTAAGAATATCCCAGCAAGAAGCAACCGCGGATTTCATCGTAACTTTCTTACAGTTAAGAGAGTGATAAAGTTCAACATGTGTGCAAAACTTGGTTCAAATTTAAACTCTTTTCTAGTAAGAGGTAAGTTGATTTGGCATAAGACCTAGTTATCTCAAAGAAAAGAAAGAACTTCAAGCATAGAGCAACATTAACTTGGCTAGTGGTGAAGAAGTTCAGCAAATTTGCACTACCTAGAACTCCCCCCTCTCAACATTACAAGTTGGAAGGGTTCGGCATAAAACCTAGTCTCCACCGCAAAGACTCTTTATTAGCGAAAGCACAAAAATTCGACATATGACCTAGAAACAAGAAAACCTAATTACTTGCTTACTTTTATATCTGTTTCCCTGTTTAGCTTCAGGACCTTTTGTCTGATATTTATGATAAAGTTTCGTTTTGAGAAACAACTTTCTGTAAAATCTGTTGTTATCTTGATGCCACCAATTCTTGAGCATTTTGGTTTGAACTAGATCAGAAATCAGAAAACTTGCTGACCGCGATTTCTTAACCTGTAAGGGAGTGTCTTTTATCACCTGATTATTGAGGGAAGTCAGAGCCAAAATCATAATCACCTGATAAAAGACACTAATATTACCGTATAGCGCTGCCTATAGTACCCCCGGTCTTATTCAAAAAACCCCGCCCTTGAACTTAAATAGTACCCCCCCCCAGATAAAGAATGACACTACTTATAAAAATTTGGCTGCAAATTGCTTATCAGCAAAATGGGGGAATACTATCTCGGGGGGCGGGGGGTACTGTAGGTAGCGCTATACGGTAATGAAAAGTTTAGATCATCAGCCAATCAAATTATGTCTTGTAATTGTCTACGGCGCTACCTGATGAAATTCCAAGGCACATGCGATGAACATCATCATCACTGGATTAAGTATTGACGGATGGTCTGAGCGAACCAACGAACAGAATAAAAAAAAGTTCAACAAATTTTGTTACACTGCGGTAAAATGATTTCTTAAAAGTTTTGTGCATTGGATATCAATCTCCTTCCTAAAAAATAGCTTGCTATTCAAACTTGAACAAGATCATGGATTATAAAACTTAAAATGCGAGTTATCGTACATTCACATGCTAATGTTCCTTTGTTCCCCATTATTAGTTCTGCGAATTCAAATTAAATTTGTGAAACAGATTTAAAGGTAAAGGATAATAATTAATCGCTTTAATCAAACTCGAGTTTGACGCATTATACTTACTCATCATTGATGATAAAATGCTTATACAATTAGTCCAGAAATCTGCTTTCCTTATATAACTACTAATTTAAACACAAGAAAGAAAGCAAAGATGAATCACCAACAGCCGCAATCTGATGAACCAGTAACTTTAACCGTTGGTGGTATCAAGGTAAATTTATCTTTAGTAATAACAATATAGTTTTTGGGAACTCATCGTTAATGAAATTGTGATTTATTGTTAAGTATGAAACAATTACTCAGACTCTAGCCCGGTATCCTGAAACGTTACTTGGTCAGATGTACAAGGATAGTGTCATGAAGAGAATGACAGGCACCAATAATTATGCATTCGATCGCGACGGTTAAGTATTTCGTTATATTCTCGAATTCTATGTAACGGGAAATATTTCCTGGCCTGACGAAGAAACACCAACCAACACCACTGCCAAAGACACCACAAGCACCACTTTTACCACTAACAGCAGCAACGACAACGACACGGCAAACAATAACAACGACGGTATAATTACTCGACAACAAATTGAAAAAGAAATGATTTTTTTCGGTATTCCTGATCCCCGGTTCGTACAGAAGAAGAAAAACTCAACGACTTCATCTCAATGTTGGTTGAAATCGGCCTGAAACTGAAATGGTTTATGATGGAGTATAAAAAAAAAGTAGCAGATGTTGATGTGATGGTTTTCGATGGCAAGTCTGACGAATCTCACTGTACCTATGGAAAAGCGCGTGCGTATCGATTTCAGGTGGACGGATTTACGTTGTTGACAGAATACCAGAAAGAGATCCAAGATCGTATGAAGAAGATTGCGCCAAAGCTCAATGCTTTTCTGGAAATTGAAAAAAAACGTGCTACAATATGGTTAGAATTGATGTCGTAAACATTTGATTTGAGAAATACCGGGTGCATTATTTCTTTATCAAATTTGTGGTGTGCATCTTGAATGTATACAATTTTACTAATTTTCAAAAAGCAAGAGAAAATTTTCAATATTAACCTTTGCAAACATCAATTACAATATGATACGACATTTATTTTTTTATAAATACATAAGCTTACCCTTAAGAGCAAATATTGTTTATATCATATACTTGTTGAATATTAAGTAATATTTTAAAGAACAATCTTCATTTTTTCACCTATTTAAAATTCATTAAAAAGTTTTCTAACTTACAAATATTCAGATAGTAATAGGATGAAACTTAACTAAAAACCTAAGGAATTCAATCCAGAATTGATTTATTCAAATTTCAATATTTGTATTTGCAAAGAAATAACTTTTTTTTTAATAAAGAATAACTTATAATTGTTTTTGTTATAAAATATAAGATTTTGATTCACATATTTTTTTGTTTTAACTGATAAATCTATATTTCAATTAATATTTTTGATGTATTAAAATCTTATATAATTTTTAATAAGTGTAAAAATATGTAATTAATTTCAAATAATACTAATTAGTTAATTTAAGTTTAATTTTTAGCAAAGTTTTAATTTGATAAAATTATAAGTTAGAAAGCTCAGTATATATATATATTGTTGTGATTAGATATTTTCATAATCACAAATGATCATTTCACATGATCACTTCACATGATCATTTCACATAATCACTTCACATGATCACTTCAAATGATCATTCCAAATGATCATTCCAACTGATTATCTCAAGCGCTCTGAATGATCATTGCAAATGATTATTCCAAATGATCATTGCAAATAATCATTGCAAATGATCATTGCAAACGATTATTTCAAACACTCTGAATGATCATTTCAAATGATCATTTTATAATTATCAAATACTTATAAATATAGTGTTACAATTATTTTCAATAATTCCGTAATTAACGAATCTTTTAAAAATAATAGAAAATATGAAAATCTTCAAAAAT